CTGGCCATTTTTTGGTTGCGGCCATCGTTGTTTGGTGGGCCCAGGCTGGGGATTCGAACCCACCACCTTAGGTGTACGTGGCCGGCGCCTTAGCCGCTTGAGCTACAGGCACCGAGCCAGTCTAGGGTTCTTGAAGAAGATACTGGGAGGGGGACAATCTCCCAGCTGGCATGGAGATGTTTTGCAGCCTAGAGATAAGCCTCAAGCAACTGCATGAGTTAATGGCATTAATGAAGTAAGATCCCTGCTCCTTAGCAAGCAGGTTTTGAACCTTGGACATTTGTGGTGCAACAGGGTGGGAGTCGAGCCTATGGGGAAAAAGCATGTAGTGCCCAGTAAGCACGTGATCCTAGTACATGGGCCCCCCACACCTGTTGTATAATGCTTCAATAAAAGGCCACGGCAGAGGTTACTCGGGGCTTCCCTGCACTTATCGGAAGTCCACCTCTTGCAAGCATCTGTACTTCTAATCAGTGCCCTGGCTATTTCTTTCTTTCATGGGGTGATGGGGTGCCACAGTGGGCACGAACAAAGGTAACAGGGTGCCACAGTGGCACCAACACTTGCTGCCCGTAGCTCAATGGTTAGGGCACTAGCCACATACACGGGGGTTGGCAGGTTTGAAACAGGCCCGGGTCAGCTAAACAAAGACAACAACAACAAAAAATAGCCAGGCATTATGGCTGGCACCTATAGTTTCAGCTTCTTGGGAGCCTGAGGCAAGAGAATCCCTTAGGCCCAAGAGTTTGTGGTTGCTATGAGCTGTGACACCACAGGGTATGGTGTGACACCAAGGGTGAAACAGTGAGAATGTCTCAAAAAAAAAAAGGACTTTGTAGGCACCATTTCTAGCATTCATCAGCAAGTAGGTTGCAGGCGTCAGCCAATATGCCAAATTAGGCTTTCTAGAACTCCAGGGAGTCCACAGGGACTTGTCAGCAAATTAAGAGTTTACATGTACCTCAGAAAACACACGACTGAGACTTAAGTTGAGACCGCTCACAATTAAACCCATTCCTGCTTATGTCTCAAAAAGTTCTAAACAATCTCCAGGAATACTGCTAGCTCCCAACTGGTGCCAACATAACCCTAAGCTTACATCTATGATCCTGTCAGTGCTAGAGGCAGTATGGCTGGGGGGGGGGAGGGCAAGCAGGTGGCGGACATGACAGGGCAACCAGTCGTTTCAAACCAAGACCAGAGTCCAAATCTGTCAAGACAGTTACCCATTTCTTCTTTCTAAAGTCTTGACACTTCTCAGTACAACTTTACGCTGACGTCCTAAGCAGTCAGGGAGCAGTGCCTACAACTTGTCTCCATTCTGACACACTCACCTCAGCCAGGCCAGATAAATCCATTCCAATGAGCCCAGGGCCAAGGGGAACTCAGTGAAAAGCAACCAACTCCCACCTTACTGCACCCCTGTCCTGCCCACCACTGTCTGGTGGATTACCACCTCCACTCCCCAAGTCATAGTCTTGGCACACTATCAGAAAATGCTTAAGTGGCATTCTTTAGAGTGACCAAGTGGGCACCCTGTAGGCACCATGGAACAGGTTTCTCAGAACAAACTTCTCTACACATCCTGACCAGACCCCATTCCTCATAGGCTATGCATGGGGCTCAACTGCACCCTGCCAGAGGCCAAAACTCATGCCATGGCAAGGGGACACAAGTAACCTCCTAGGCTCTCTGACATTAGAACACAGCCAAGGTATCCGATGGTCATGCAGGGTAGCTGCACCGCCCCCTCCCCCCAAGGCAATGTTAACCAGCAGTTGCTCTTGGAGTTATAAGATTTCTCACAGGGGCAGGGCCTGTTGCTCAAAGGAGTAGCGCACTGGCCCCATATACCGGAGTTAGTGGGTTCAAACCTGACCCCAGCACAAAAACTGGAAAAAAAAAAATTTCTCACTGGCAATGCTAAGCAAACATCCCCTTTCTCTTCAGCCAGGAGGACATAAACTCACCTTGACTGTGTTAATTCTTACACTATCCCACAGACATGGGTGGCTTACCCCCATATTATGGATGAAGTGAGGCTAAGGAACATGCCCAAGGTCACACAGGTGGTGTAAATTGTGGAATCAGGGACAGAAGACACGTCAGAACCTTGAGATTGTTTCCAAGCCACTTTTACTCAGACCTACTCCATAGGAAACAAAGTCACAATAAATGATTTTTCCAAAACATTTTCCATTTTGGTCTATAGCCACTCAATGACTGAACTTCCTTAGCATAAGCTATAACCTTGACCTGTAATCTGTGGCCAAGGTTTTCAGTCATACCCAGAAAATGGCTGATTCTCACACTCAAAACACTTACCACAACAGAGTCATTGTGAGTCAGGTCAACAACCACAGGCTCTAGCGATTCACAGGTAAGGTCCACAATTTCATCTCCAGCTTCAAAAGAAAGTATTTCAATAAGCATTAGAAGCAAAGTAAGGGTGCACAGGTATATCCATCTAGAAGCTTCACTGATCTGATTACAAATGTAGTACAGATTTCTACCTAACTAAAAAACTCCTGAAGCACACTATGAGAACAGTGTCAAGACCAATCCCTTTTTCAATAGTAATAACTAATAAAGGCCTTGCAGAATTTTTCAACAAATGAGGGTACATTTTTCAACAAGTGAGGTAGTACATCTTATGAATATACTACCAGCGTGGTTGTGCATGTCCATGCATACCTCTATCCCATGGTGCCCCACTCCCACAAGGCTATGACTCTGTGCTCACCTGCTTTTTCACAAGGGTGAGGCAGTGACTCACCTGACAGGATATCTGGGAGAAGGCACAAGACAAGCTCAGCTAAGGGCCTTTCTCTTTGGGATGAACCAGCCAGAAACCTTTGCTCACCCCAGCAGGGGAACTACCTTCACTTAGCCTAAAGTCATGCTTAGTTTAGTAATGTCATCAGCTAATCTAGGCAGGGCTTTTAATCTCCATTTCCCTCTCAAGTGCCCCCCCCCCCAATTTGGATGGAGATCAGTAATGTTTATTAGCCCCCTATAAGCTATGTGGGTTGAGCCTATTGTGAAGCTTGCCTTTTGAGCCCTAAGATATACTGGGACATCCACTTGAGCACAGGATGAAGGAGACGACATGGACCAGGCAGCTAATGGCAGTTATAAGCAAGAGCCATAGTACATTATCCACCTAAAAAACTAAAAAAAGACCTGGGCGCAGTGGCTCATGCTATAATCCTAGCACTCTGGGAGTGCCAAGGTGGGGGGGATCACCTGAGCTCATGGGTTTGAAACCACCCTGAGCAAGAGTAAAATCCCATCTCTAAAAATAGCTGGGCACTGTGGCAGGTGCCTGTAGTCCCAGCTACTTGGGAGGCAGAGGCAAGACAATCACTTAAGCCCAGGAGTTTGAGGTTACTGTGGGCTGTGACACCACTGCACTCTACTGAGAGTAACAAAGTGAGACTGTCTCAAAAAAAAAAAAAAAAAGAGAGAAGATTTATAACCATTTCTGCTTCTGATTACTATTTTTTTTTTTTTGAGACGGAGCCTCAAGCTATCCCCCTGGGTAGAGTGCCATGGCATCACAGCTCATAGCAACCTCCGACTCCTGGGCTCAAGCGAGTCTCCTGCCTCAGCCTCCCAAGTAGCCGGGACTACAGGCGCCCACCACAACGCCTGGCCATTTTTTGGTTGCAGCCATCATTGTTGCTTGGCAGGCCCGGGCTGGGGACTCGAACCCGCCACCTTAGGTGTATGTGGCTGGCGCCTTAGCCACCTGAGCCACAGGCACTGAGCCTCTGATTACTATTAATATTAAAAAGTACTGCACACAGTACCGAGATTCAGATTTTTAGAAGCAGTATTGGTCTAATACCAAAGAAAATGACTCATAATGCATTTAACATATTTTAACTTGTCTCATTTTCTTGCATTTAAAGTTTCAGAGGCCTGGTGCGGTGGCTCACACTTGTAATCCCAGCATTCTGGAAAGCTGGAGTGGGTGGACTGCCTGAGTTCAGAGGTTTGAGAGTAGCCTAAGCAAGAGGGAGACCCCATTCTGCGCTAAAAATAGGAAAACGAGCCGGACTTTGTGGTGGGTGCCTATAGTCCTTGCTACTAACGAGGCCAAGGCAGGAGGATCACTTGAGCTATGAGGATCACATGAGGTTGCTATGAGCTATGATGCCATGGCACTCTATCCAGGGCAACAGAGTGAGACACTGGCTGAAAAAATAAAATAATAAAAAGTATCACAGGAATAAAAACTACAATAGATTCTAGATATCCAATATAATTTACACAAACTTATCACATTCTTTATTAAAAAGGACTGCCTAGTAATCCAAACACTGAAATATAATAATTCATCAAACCATTCTCTTTCTGGTGAACACTCTTGGCCAGGGGTCCTCAAACTTTTTAAACAGGGGGCCAGTTCACTGTCCCTCAGACTGTTGGTAGGCCAGACTGCGGGCCCTGGGATGAGTCAGCTGCTAAGCAGGACAGACAGCAGCAGCAAAAATACCCGGCAGGCTGGATAAATGTCCTAGGTAGGCCACATGTGGCCCACAGGCCATAGTTCAAGAACCTCTGCTCTTGGCTCTTATAAAACCAGTGCTCCAAAGGGGAGTATGAACAAACAGCCTTGCCATGGGCTAAGACTGCCTATAGGATAATAAGCGCCATACTGGGAAGCGACTGGATCCTTCCTGGACCTGTGATTCTGAGTCCTCCATACAAGGGCTGTGTCACAGCTGAGGACAGCACCAACTTTGGGCATGGAGGGCCAAGGTCCTAGCCTCTAGGTAAGTTAAGTTAAGGCTTTTAGGACTTCATTGTTAGAAGTGAAATTCAGAAACCACAGAGAACTCTCTTATTCTGGGTGGCCAATGAAATTTATCTCATACTAATTTGCTTCTCTTTAAAATTTCAGTTTTTCAGGCATCATAGTTATAAAAACAATTTTCATCTACAAAAAGCAAAGAGACTTTGCTTCAGGCCATTTGACACTTCCCGGAGCAGGCAAAAGGAAAAAACCCTATCTGGCCTCTGCCTATACCAAGCTCCACCACTGGGAGCTCTGTTGACAAGTTTGCCTTCTTGGCAGATTTTCTGTCTTTATACCTTTCAAGGTTAACCAAAGCAATTTCAAACACAAAAGGTGAGCCAGTGCAGTCTTGTCTTCCTTGCTGAACTTTACCAAAGGGCTGAATGGTCAGCCCAGCTGAGCTACTGTTTTAAAACCTGCAGAGGTCTTAGGGTTCCAGGGGGGCAGTGCTGCTCAATTTAGCACTTGGCTGTGAATGGTGAATTGGACTATACAGGTCTTCTGAAGACAGAGCATTTCTTACAGTGAGCCCTACGTGGTGATAGCAGCCAAGCCTCCTCTAAGTGTTTCAGTTTGGACTCACTTCGGTCTACGACAACTCTAGGCTGCAAGTCCTAGAATCCTCTGCTGAAAAGGGAACAGAGATTCAGACTTACACAGGCTCCACAGCTGGCAGGTGGCCATGCAGGCTCTATCTCCAATTTGCACACTCCCCACATCACAGATTTTCCACCTCAATACCCAGCAGTCATAGGTATCCCTCCAACCTTACCAGTTTCCACGAGTTCTATGGGTTCTGTTTCCAAAGAAATTTCAGGAGTAGAAGTTGCTTCCCGAGTCCGTTTCTGGGCTTGTCTAGAATTTACTGTTCCACCACGACGCTTTCTCTGAAGGTATTAACATTTGGAAAAGAAATGGTCACAGGAGCTCCAGATTGACAGAGTTTCATGAAGAACAAAAGGCCAACATGAAAATAGTTCACCTCTAAGATTAAGAAGCCAGCAAGTAAATTTGAAGCTGGGGTCCTTTCAAAACTTGAGAATCTGTAACACTGAATGCTTACACAGAGAGAAATCACCCCAAACATAGAAATTCAATGAAGTAAAACTGCTATTATATTAAATATCAGTTATGGCAAAACTATGTGATAAACCTCTCTACAGAAGCCTCAAAAGTCAGGATTTGGATAGGTGGTTGATGCTCTAGCTGGACAGACAGCCTTCCATCTTTAGGCACCACCCCTAACACCTTGCTTAAGATAAGCAAGTTGGTTTACATACCAGAAGGCCCCTAAACACACTCCTTCAAGAACTAGGGTAACTCAGAAGCACCCATGTGGTACTCTGTTTAATGTGCTATAGGAATAAGGCAGTTGTTCAACTTCAAAAATAAAATAAAATTCAAGAGCTGATAAAACTTACTGTACTCATTGTGCTCTTTGGTGCCGACCTACAGAAGCAGCAGCAGTAATCTGTACCAAAGGTTGCAGGGGAGTCAAACGTTCTCAACCTCTCATCCCCATCAGTTACTTCTCCTCTGGCTTGGAAAAGAATTTGAAGCCAGACAGATTTTAGTATCTTCAAGTCCTAAAAAACAAAGATATTGACTTGATAAAGGCTGCCTCTGCATTGCTGATAACAAAGTTCAGGCCGGGTTTGACCCCCCCACCTGCAGTATATGGGGCCAGAGCCCTACTTACTGAGCCACAGGCATCATCCTACCCCACCTTTCTAAAGCAGTTTCCCATGGCAACTTTCCCAGGTTCCTCACTGTGCCCTAACTCCTAAACATGGTGTGTGAAGGCAAGCTGGCATTACCAAGACAGCACATCTCTGCAGCCAGACAGTTGGGACTGAAATCCCCCAGACTCCATCCAACTTGTGACTACTTTAGTCTGTGCCATTTCCTTATCTATAAAACAGGACAGCACCTACCTCAACAAGTGTGTGAAGATTCCAAGAGCTAACAGAAAGAGAGCCCTTGGAACAATGCAGGCACACTGTAAAGGCCCAATGTCTGTGGACTCACCCACCTTGGCCTCCAGAGTGCTAAGATTACAGGCACAAGCCACCAAGCCTAGCCACAGCAATTCATTTCAAATATGGTTTTCCTCTTTTGGGAATAGTAAAGCTCAGGAGTGAGAGGACATGGAAAGTGGGAAGGCAGGATATAGAGGTGAGTAGGAAACATTTCTAGCAGATCATCCCCAGTGTGTGAATAGAGATGCCAGAGTCGTGGGACAGGTTCTGGATCATGCAGGTGGCACAGGTCATCAGAGTAACAGGACCAGTAATAGCTAAAACTTACAGGTCACTCCCACACACAAAGCACTGTACTTTCTAAAAGCACACACACTCCTCCCATCACCCTGTACGGAGGCAGGAACCATTCTGCATACACGGCAGCTAAGGATGACCAAGAATTAAGTAACTTGGATTTAAAATCAGGGCAGTATGACACCAGAACCCACACTTACTAAATACTGTGTTAATGCTAGAATCAGATGTATTAACTCTGTAAACAAGAAGGAACAATGAGATGTTTTCCAGATTTCTCAAATGTAGTAGGTCCAGAAAGGAACCCTTGCTGCCACCGTCCTCTAGCAACCCTGGCCTGTTTGGTTTGTCAAAACAAACCCTGCAGTCATCCAGTGTGCTCTCACTCACCTGAAGCAAAGCACCCCAATGGCAGAACTACTTACAATTACCTAGCCCAGCCCAAAGCAGATGCTCATATTTAATGAAGAGACAAACACCTTGGGGATAACAGCGGGTGGCTGATGGTGCTCCTGTCGCTAAGCAAAGAGCTGGTATGGAGCAGCAGCCATTCCTGACTGGGAAAGGTTGGGAAGGCCAGAATCCAAGGATTCCTAAAGTTTCCAGGGTGAAAGAAACAACTCACACCAAAGTACCTAGCTAGTCACCATAAGATGATGCCAAAAATCCAAATGAAGGAAAGAAAAGGAAGTGGTGATGAGAGCAGTTTCAGTAAAGCTGGTATGAGATACCCAGGAAGAAAGGTCCATCAGCAGCTAGAAAACTTGGGATCAAGAAACGTGGGGTGGCTCGGCGCCTATAGCTCAACCGGCTAAGGC